CATTTCCTGACTGCGTATCTTGTAGCTGTCACTATATAAAGAATATAAAAGTTTGTTCTTGCCAGAAAGAAGCTCAAACATCTTCCTACACTTTTATTTAAAACACACACACACACAATTTCTTTTAAAAATGAGGACTATCTGCCCGGCTGGTGTCACTCAGTGCTGAGTGCTGACCCATGCACCAAGAAGTTGCCGGTTCAATTCCTAGTCAGGGTACCTGCCCAGGTTGTGGGCCAATTCCCCAGTGTGGGGCATCTATCTCTCTCTCTTCCTCTCCCTTCCTCTCTTTAAAATCAATAAAGAAAAAAAAAATTAATGAGAACTATCACTTCAACTCTGGCTTAAATAAAAGAGCTCCCACCAAGAAATCATAGAAAGATATTAATGATCAGCCATTAAATTCATTACATCCTTGCTAACCTGGGTCACTCTATCACATGACAGGTAAATGCAGACATTTAATTGATGAGCAGGGGGAGCCACTTTTGTAACTATAGAATCCAAATAAAATACTTATTTTCCTATAAATCTGCTTCATTATTTTATTTGATAAGCACAAGATGGTATAGTTTTAGAAATGTAATCTATAAGGGAGTGGTTCTTAACCTGAGGCAATTTTTGCCCTCTCTCCCCTAATCCACAGACATTTAGACAACATCTAGTGAAATTTTGGTTATCATATCTATTGCCATCTACTGGTGCTATTGCCATCTAGTGAGTAGAGGCCTAGGATGCTGCTAAACATTTTCCAATGTACATGGCAGTACTGACCACAATAACCTGTCCCAAATGTCTATAGCATCTGGGTTGAGAAACCTTTCTATAAAGGAAGATTTTCCCACCCACAACGAAGACCCTGAACTTCTTCTTAGTTCTCACAGTGACTTGCAAATCATCACTATAAGTCTGTTTAATTTGATAAGGTGCTCCAAGCTTAAACTACCTTAATCCAAATAGAAAATCAATTATAGCCCAAGTTAAGGAGCTATTACTCATATATCCTGTTTATAAGAGCTCCCTGACTGACTCTTTCAGGAATTACAAAGTTATCTCATTAGTTATTTCCATTAGATCCTGAGACCTGTTTGCCTAAAATTTCTCATGCCTAGACAGTAATAGCATGAAAAATGTATCTGGGTTTACTTATTCAGTATCAGAAAACATATATGAATTTATATTCTTTTCCCCTAATAATAATAATATCATTTACACTGTTGAATAAAAATCAAGTTTATCAAACTATGGAAGTTTAAGAAGCTTCCTTGTAACCTTATCTTCCCCACAACCCTGAAGTCATAGAGTATGAAAAACAAGGGTGTGAGCCAAGTTACATAATGTCATAATCAGTTATCACAATCAGTCTCCATCTTTCTCCTTCCAAACTAACTCCATACAGGTTATCACATTTCTTCAACTGATAGAAGTCAAGCTTTGAAAACAAATTAAAGGTACGTGACTCAAAAGGAAGTAGCAATTCATTCCAATGTCAGTTCCTAAAATCTATGACCAAGGGATTATATACCTACTAAAAAGTTCAAACAATGCTGTTACCCATTCTTGATACTTAAAAACAAATTTTAATAAGGAACTATGAGCTATCTGAGCTGGGAGGTTTCCTTTCATTTTAATGTTGTTTTTGTTTTTCTCAGAAGGAGCCGAGACTGTCAGTATTTAGGTCTCTGCTGGGAAGAAATTTAGGTCTTCAAAAGCAAATACTGCAACACTATAAAATCCTCTCAAATATATGCTTTTAGAAAGGTCATAAAGTTTTAAAAATCATTTTCCTCCCCAGTCAGAAGAATAGCAAAAGTACTGTAACTATAGGCGCTGCCCCATATATATGTAAATAATCTCTCCCGCAGTCCACATATCTATAAACTAAGTTTAGATACTGCTTCCCTTTGGATGGGTGTTGTAAGAGTTAAGTGTTTTGTGATCAGTGAATGGAAGCTAAGGTAAACACTAGAAATAAAGAAAATAAAATCTTTGCCTTTAAATAGAAGTGGTTCTAGTTTCCTTTTACAAGCCTGAAGGGTTGTTGTACATATTAAAACTGCTGCATAGCTCCATCCCTGGTCACAGAAAGCCCACCTCCCTCCTCCTCCTCCCTCCCCACTCCCCCCTCCTCCCCCTCCCTCCCCCCTCCTCCTCCTCCCTCCTTTCTCCTCCCTCCTCCCTCCTCCCTCCTCCCCCTCCCTCCTCCCTCCTCTCTCCTCCTTGAAGATGTCAGATCTCTGGGAAACAGTAGTTACAAAAGGATGCTTTTCATAGCTTGTACTAGAAAACGCTGGTACCCCATTCCTGCATAAAAAAAAGCGCTAAACTGAGTCATAATACCGGAAGCTGTTCCTTCTGCTTCTCTTCAAATGAATCTAGATTATTTCTAGAGAAAAGCTAAATAATGCTGCATAACTTTGCCCGTTTTTCTAATCCCCGGTTTGCCCTAGATAATTTTAAGCTTTATCCATCAGTGTACCACGCGAGAAAGAAAAACGCAATTAACGAGATGACAGTGTTATCTAGGTATTTGGCATCAATATTAGCAGGAGTCTGTCATTTGACAATTATTTTCCTAGCATACCAGACGGTAAAGAAAATGTTTTCACTCATTCTCAAATGACTAACATTTTATTGATATTTCAAAATGCGGTTGAATACTATTGCACTCTCAATTTCCAAGCTGGGTTTGAGAGTCAGGCTTGAATACTAATAAAGTCAGTAACTCCTGCTGCTAACGTCTCCGTTAATTGCCAAGCCTTGGAGTGTCAGTTCAGCAGCGAGGTGATGCTGGTTAGGAGCTCTTCGATCAGATCAGTCAGTGTGGTGGTCACAGGTGATGGGAACCCTTCCCTTTCTCCACATATTCTCATGCACGGTGATAAAAATCACTGAGCGCTGCTACCGCCAAGCAAAACGACTCCCTGCCTGCCTCGTAAAAAGCTCAGTCTAGGGAGGCAGCCGGATGCTGACCCCTGCAGAGATTATTGCTTCTGTGCGCTTTGCCAAAGGACCTTGCTAGCATTATGGAAAACGAGTTAGGGATGTGCGAGGTTTTATTTATTTCCTCCAAAAAGGTCTGGGGTCAGGAAAAGAAAATCTATAAAGGCTGCTTAAGGAGGATAGTGGTGGAGGTAGGGAAGAATGAATGGGGGTGATGAGCATACTTTTTAAATGACTGTACTAGTTTCCCTTCTTCACTTCCCCGCTTTGCTTTCCAAACTCCTCAATGAACGAGATTGATTGGCGTAACTGCTATTGGCTCCAGCCTCGGTTCTCACATTGATCTGCAAACGGCCCGGAACAGCTCAAGGTTCTTAAATCTGGAAATGAATTCAAGAAGGGAAGAAGTAGAAAATGAAGGGGGCGGCCCGGTGTCCAGCACCCCACTCCGCCACGGGCCAGGACGGCGGCTCGCAGCCGCGGGGCGAGCGGCGAAAGGGCTGCGACATGGGAGGCAGGTTGGCGGTTCTGCGCCACCGAGCAGGCAGCCGGGCCACCCAGGTTTGGAGGCCGTTAAAAAAATACAACCCTGTGACTTGTAAACCCGATAACCTGCGCTGCCTAGATACGGAGGCTGATCATTCCGCTTGATAGGCTCAACTGGGCGAAACAGCCTCTTACATAACAGAACCGCCTGGCTCTACACAATTAAAACACTAGATTGTAGTCTCTCCGCGACTGCATCCCCGCACCACTCGCCCGTACCGCCCAGTGCGCCTGCGTGCCGCGCGCGCACAGGCCGGCGCGCACCGCTCGCGCGCATGCACGTGCGCGCGCATACCGTACTCTCTCACACGCATCCACACACGCTGCACTTTGACCATGCCTCACGCACATACACATACACACCCACACACAATTTAGTGTCAACAAGCACGAGGGAGGGTGGCGCTCTCCGAACCATACTGACTGACCCTACAGACACTCCCGCTGCTCTCCTGCAAGGCCTTGCATGCACCCCCCTCGCGATCCCTCAAAAGCAGCCCCCGCCGCTCGTCCCTCCCTATTTCCCAAAACAGGTGAAGAGTGAACTAGTGGGCCGCTGGTTAACTGTAACACGGCCGCCCAGGCGAGAATGAGAACACGTAAAAAATAAACAACAAAACCCCTCAGTCCCCGTCGGCATGATGGCGCCGACCCCAACTTGGAGGACTTTAAAGTTACGGTGCCTCAAGAGGTAAAACGCACGGGAGAGGGAAAGCAAAGCGCCCCTCTGCTCTCTTCCCCTCAGCCCGACGCGGAGACTTCTCTAGCAAAGCATCACTCCGGTGCAGCTGACAGCAAGGGAAGCCTCCTGTCTGCGACGCCTCTCTTTCCCCCGCAGTTTGCATAATTGTGATATACCTCCTCCTGATATATTTTCGCTTTCTTTCTTTTTTTCCCCCTTCATTTTTTCTCCCCTCCCTGCTGCAGCCCCAATCCCGGGGCGGGGTTGCTAAGGAAACGGCCGCTTGGCAACGCGCGCGAGCCCGGGGGCCGCCGGCCGCCGCTGCGCCCCGCGCTGCTTCTGCTGCTGCTGCTGCTGCTGCTGCTGCTGCTGCTGCTGCTGCTGCCGCCGCCGCGACTGCAGCCGCCGCCGCTGCCGCTCGCCCAGCCTCCGCCGTCGCCGCGCCTCCTCCCTCACTCGCCGGCGCGCTCGCCTCCTCGCTAGATGGTGTGCGAGCCGCCCGAGAATTAGACACACTCCGGACTCGGCCAAAAGCAACCGAGAGGAGGTGTAGTGTGGTGCCAGGGGGTGGGAGGGGAGGGAGGGAGGGACGGCGAAGAGGCGGAGGAGGGGAGGCCAAAAAAGAGAGAGAAACAACACCCAACAACTAGAGGGGATAAAGAAAGAAAGAAAAGAAACCCACCCACCAAAAAAAGAAAAAGAAAAAAATACAAAAAACAAAAAGAAAAAAAAAAAAAGAAAGAAAGAGAATCCTGTGGCGCGCCGCCTGGTTCCCGGGAAGACTCGCCAGCAGCAGGGGGTGGGGGAGTGCGAGCTGAAGGCTTCTGGAGTGAGCAGCCCGAGCAGGGATGGACATGATGCTGTTGGTGCAGGGTGCTTGTTGCTCGAACCAGTGGCTGGCGGCGGTGCTGCTCAGCCTGTGCTGCCTCCTACCCTCCTGCCTCCCGGCTGGACAGAGTGTGGACTTTCCCTGGGCGGCCGTGGACAACATGATGGTCAGAAAAGGGGACACGGCGGTGCTTAGGTAGGAAGACCGGCGTGCTTTTCGTACTTGTCTCAGTCTCTCTTTCTGTCTCTCTTTCTACCTTTTTTTTTTTTTTTTTGCCTTCTTTTTAACCCGAGTAATAATGATGATGGCGAGCACTATCAAAAGACCACATCTCAAGACACGCAGGTGCTGATGCTGCCCCAGCCCTGGTCCCTTTCCGCCGGGGCAGGTAACAGGCTGGACCCGTGATGCGAAAGCACTTTGCCCGAACGCCAAGTGGCCCCGGGATGAGTGGAGTGTGCGGTTTAGGAGGGGCAGGTGGCTCTTTGAAACTCAGTGCACAAGGTCTCTGTTTTACTGTCATGGGGTGCTCGTGGAGAGTCTGACAAGTTTATCAGGTTTGTTTCTGTTTTCCTCTAGTCTAAGTGACTTTTTCAAACTGCTCGCTCCCCGTTCCCATTTATTTTCCCTCAGTTGGACACCTAGGCTCCATTTCTCCCTCTTCAGCTTTCTTTCTTTCTTTCTTCTTACCGCTTGTCCCCTTTCTCCCCTCTCTTTCCCCACCCTCTTCTTACTCTTTCCCCCCTTCCACGCCTCTTTCCTTCCTTTTCTGTTTTATCTCGATTTTCTCTTTCTTAAAATCGCCACCACTCTCATGTTTATCTTCTTCTTTTAACCCCCTTTCCCGCACTCTTCCCCCTACCGCGCTCCCTATTTTTGTTCCTCATTAATGTTCCTATTCTGTGATCTCGTCAGTCACATTTCCCATCTCTCGCCGTGTCCCTGACACATACACAGGCATGTTCCCTCCAACACCCTTCTGTACCATTTTTTTCACCCTCACAAGTCTTTTTCTGAAACACGCTTCTTCACATACTTTCTGTTCTCACATCCTCACACACGTTGGCTGTTCCATGCTCTAACAACCACTTTCACGTTCAGATTCTCTTTCAGTGTCTAAAAGGCACACTTCTCTCCTGTTCCACACACTGTCACTCACACATGTGCGCGCTCTCCTCTCTGTTCCCTCTTTCTTCCCTCCCTCCTCCTCCCGTTCATCTTCAGTTTTACTTCTTTTTCTAACTCTCCCTTCTTTCCCTTTATCCCCGAAGCTTGAGCACGGAAATGTTTTGTCATTAATGAACATCTATAGCCTGATGTTACCCCTTTGCAGCACTGCAGAGTGAGCTTCTGGAAACATTTTCTCTCCTGTGAAAATATAAATTGATGACCAGCAGTACTTAGACCTAAACAAGGCTAACCACCCTTGTTCCTTCATTTCCCATCGCCCTCCCACTTCCCCCAGACACCCCCACCTGACGTACACCTCAAATCTCCCTGAAAGATCTTTCTCTCCACTGGGTGGTAGCTGGCTCATAAGTGTGGATTGTACAAAATCGGTATACATGGCATGTCTAGGTGAAAGAGTGGAGTATGTTTCTGTTGGATCATGTAACATATTTTAAATTTAATGATCTGGGATCTGGGTGTGGTATATGACTTATACCTTCTGAAACATATTATGAGTCCAAATTTGTGTGGAATACTATGATAATATCTAATATACACCAGTAACATGCTTTTATAATATATCTTGTTGTCTTTGCTGTAAACACAAAATGCCACTAGGTGTACACAAAAGTAATGAATGATTTTTTATAACTTAGTAAAATACCTTTTCATTGTTGATAAAAGCAATGCATTCTTTGTCACATAGAGGATATAAATTAAGCCCATGTTTATGTTCTTTATCTTAAGTTTGTTTTAAAAGTTTGAACAATAGTGGTGTGAGGATGAGACACTATTTTCAGAGGCTGCAACCATATATAACGGGAGCTGAAATCTATTATATGTTACAGATTGCTTATTGGTAATGAGCATTAATATTTTCAAACTGAAGAATTTGATAGACTGGTTGTCTTATGATGATATATCTTGGCATTTTTGTTCCTGATGAACAATCCAATAAATACTATAGCTAATTAAAATAGCTGAACCCATGTTTTGCCTCTAGGAGACCTATGGTTAGTTCACTTATTGCTTCCAATACTAAAGCTTCTCTAACTAGAGGGGACAATATCTTTCCAGTGTTGTTGGTTTGGTGCAGTCCCTGTTTACTTGTATGCACTGTACCTCATTGTTTTTTTTGTTTGTTTGTTTGTTTTGCTATATCCTGAGTTTTGGAATATTTGATTTTAGGGAACTTTTGACTTAAAAAAAATTTAAACAGAATAGAATCTCTGTCTTTTCTAAACAATGTTCTAATTACAGTGTTTTAAAAATAATAATAATTTTTGTCATATGCAGCAGAAATCTGATCTGGGTTGCTTTTTACCCAAAGTAATTTGCTTATAGTAATTCTAGAATTCTCTAGGGAGCATCTCGTTTTTAACCTTTTTATATTGTCATGGTTTTAAAAATATTTTAACATATATATTTATAAGAAATTCTCAGTAATTTTTCTTAATTACTCTGTTGTAACTGATACCGCCTCTGTTCATAGACCAGTACAGACAGAACTTAAAGACTAATTGAGTATACGTCAGGTGACATATTTTTTCATTAAAAGTAATGTTACAGAGTTAGATGTGGTATTTTTGCTTTGGATAATAACAATTGTGCCTGATGTTATTCTGTAACTCATTAGAAAACAAAACAAATTAAACAAAATTTACCCTCAAATATACAACCACCCCATTAAAGTACAGAAATCTATTGCTCAAGAGAATATTTTACTGAATTACATTATATCATTTATTAAGCTTTACGCAAAATGGTCTATTTTTAATCTAACACATTCCTCAAGGTGTCTCTAATAAAAAGCAAATAGAGGCATAACAGTTATCAAATAACTTTAAGAGCTAAAGGCCTGACAGTGCAAACATATCAGTCAGTGACTCTGTTGCTTGTGGTTACATTAATGAAACAGAAGTTTAAAGGTCAAATGATACATTTTTATCTCCTAAATGCTACAGTGTCTGTTTTAGAAAAAAGAATTAAGAAAAACAAAACTTTCCTTAACTGGCGTTATAATACAAGAGGAAATTCATTCTGTGATCCACTAACTATATCTATCATTTGTAAACCATCTTCTCTGTTTAGCTTAGAGGACTTATGATGAAATTTCATTCAATATTTCCATAGTCTTATCATTTTATTTTGTCTTTTAAGATTGGTGAAGAAATATATTAAATGTCAAAATTTCCCTTTCTCCTAATAATGTTACTCACTGATAAATCTCTGAAGGATTCACTTGAGCTATTTGGATTTTCTTGATAAAGTATTTGATGATGCATCTACTCAATGATGTAACATCTGGTATCTCCTGTACTTAAACTTTGGATTCAAATAAATGCATGGGTGTCTAGAGTACAGTGTAATTTGCTACAAACACAAACTAATACATTCATTAATTTATTAAAAAGTGACTTTAATTGAGATTACATTTAATATGGATTAATATTTTATGCCTAATAAAACTTGTTAAACTGTATGTAAATAAATTAACTTTTTCTTCAGTCTTCAAATTGCATTTTGCAGTACATGGACGGTCTGAGTTAATGTTTCATGGGGTCACATAGTGAAGAACAGGAGATGCTGGAACCTCATTGATCATATTTCAGGATTTGGTATTTCTAGATGTGGAAAATCAAAGGGAACATAACTCAGCTCTGGATCAATACATAAATTTTGATGACTTTTTAAATAAAGTTTTACAGTTACTTTAATGTGAATCAGTTATTTTATTCTTACCTTTTTAACAAACATAGTTGTGTTAATATGTCCAAAGTGTTTAATATTCACTGGAAACAATACAAGGGACATCCTCATTTACATCCTCCCAGTGTCTGAACATTTTTAAAAACACATGTCATTTTTAAGCTAGTTATTTCTATCTGTTTCTACTTCAGCTCCTGTGTATGAATTTTGTACATTTTAAGCCACCTTCCTGATGTGAATTCAAAATATTCTGTTCTCTTTTTGTCATACTTTAATCAAAGGAAGGGAGAGTCTTTTCTTAAACATAATTTATTTTACCTTAGCAAAGTTGAACACAACTCTGTTATTTTAATGGAACTTGCTTTGAATGGAACTTATATGAGATCCTAATATGATCTTGTAATAAGAAAGAAGAATTTTGCTTAAAGCATAAATCATAGAGCACGCTTTCACAGAAGATATATCCATTGGAAGACACAAACTTTTACAAGTGGATTTATAAATGGATATGATAAGTATTTATTATTTGTCAGTCTATTTGTCCAATACATTTGCCTTTTGATTAAACTACATTAATTAGTTTGGTTTGGACACAAGAAAGTAAATGACTTATGTATGAGAATGGAGAATTACCAATAACAATAGAAATCAATTATGTTGTACTTGCAGAATATCCTTGAAATCTCATATTGTCTGTTGGGTCATTCCTACACGTTAATGCATCACATATGCCATTGTTCAAGTATATAGATATTTTCAATATTGAACATTAAAACATTATGTAAAAACCTATATGCTTATTAAATAGTGCCATTGAACAAATACATTTAAAATTATGATTTTTTTCCTTTAAAAAAAGAAGGGGTAATAGATTGCCATACTGAGTCAATTGGAAAATTGTGTTTCAGAATATGGAATAAAATGCTACAGTATTACCTGTAGTGACTTTTCTGAGCTGTTCTTTTAGCATGACTTATTACTTGGTATAGTAATATGCAATCAGTTATTATATTAAAGAACAATAGTATTTTTTTTTTCTTTTTTTTTTTTTTTTTTGTTCAGATAGAGCGAGGGGGAGAGAGAGAGAGAGAGAGAAACATCAATGTGAAGTGACACATCGAGTGGCTGCCACCCGCACAACCAACCAGGGCCGGGGACAAACTGCAACCGAGGTACGTGCCCTTAGCAGGAACCGAACCCGGGTCTCTCTGTACCGCAGGCCGACGCTCCAACCGCTGAGCCAAACCAGCCAGGGCAACAATAGTATTTTTAACATATAGATAAATTAATTTTTGCCCAATATTTTTCATTCAGAA